TCTCTCTGCTGAATGGCTAGAGACTCGGACATGAGACGAGCGAGAGGGGCGTACCGGGCCAATAGCGCCGCGGGAAAAGCCATGCTAGATCGTCGAGAGCATTCCTTTGATGCAAACTGCGTGTCGGCCCTAATCCTTAGAAGGTTCGCCTGCCTCTCTACTGGAGAAGTTTCCTCTTCTACTATCTTCGTTCTTATGTCGAAATCCTCCTTTAAATATCAGCAGCCAGAACCAAAGTTATAGTGGAATTTTCTATAAGATGTTGAGTGTGAGCTGGATGCATGGACATTTTCGTGTTCCCTCCCTATTCTTTATTCCTGCAATATCGTTCCAGAATTGCTCACTCAACCATTTGTGGCAGATTTTTGCCATGAAGGATCTTATTGATGTAATTTTTAGGTGAGGTGAGATGATTTGCAGATCTAATCATTCGGTAGCTCTGACCATCTGCTCTTACAAACTTGAAAAGCCGCAGTACTACATTTCCTTCAATCATAAAGCCTTATGTCCAATAAATTTGACAACTGGTTTTCTAACTACCAGCGGCGATATTATCTGCCGGCACAACTGCGCTCCATGCTCTTTTCGACTGAAGCAACAATCTCAAAGTCCTTGAACAAGGACTCTCTACCTTCCTCCTTGGAATGAAGTAGGGGTGTGTCCGGACGAGTTGTCCGAACTTGTTTGCTCCATGGCTCCACTACCCGCGCGTATTGAATTAGCCGCCTTATCGTAATCCACGTTGCGTTCTACAGGTGTGCGCGAGGTATCTCGTCCGTAAGTTCACATTAGTCGCCATCAGATCACTTTGTAAGGCCCTAGCTTTGTTTTCGCGGACTTCCATGCCTTGGCAAGGCAGATTGTGCTACTCGTGGGTTACCCAATACCGCCCACAAAAGAGTTTCTTCGACACATCCACATCTGGAGCTGCTGCTTCAAAAGCCCACCAAAGATTCTGTAACTAATAAATACAGAAATATTCGGAGAAGAATGAATTCTTGGTCGAATACGGTCGCCTTCTGAGATACGCCATGCACTCCACTTCCATTCTGATTTAGAGACATTTGAACGTTAATGTGAATGACTGAACGATGGCAGAAGATGCATGGCTGTGCTTTCATCTTGCCGTCGTCTCATCGTGAGTCTAGTACCAACTACTAATTAATCTTTGAGAGGTGTAGGGTTCACTTGGCCTAGTCACGATTCAATCGGGGTATGAACAACCAGGTCGGACCAACTAGACAGTGTTAAGGTTCGCTGTTTGTCTCCACATCACCATTACGAAGGACCACCGATTACCAATATGCTGAAAGATCCCCTCGTTATGTTCAACACCCGATAATACGTTGAAACCCCTTACTACCGGCTTTTCCAGTCGAATCATCGCTAATCCTGAACGATCCCCCACTCGCACCTCTCACAAAGGACATTCTGACGTCAAACGAACATTAGCACACAAACAGCCAACACCGGGCTGTCTTCCGTCGTATATGATGTATTGCGTCGGATGATTGTCAAAGAGTTTTCTTAGGCCATCATCAACACCATCATACCAGCAATCAGCCTGGCCAACTGGCTGGATAGCCATTATCAGAAGCACGTTTGGCGTCCCGATCGCGCCCCCTTATCGTCGCCGCGCTGCATCTTCCTGACTAACAGGTATCGCCTTAAGGGTGAGCATGGATCGCGATTAATCCCCCCAATAAAATCCAGATGTTTTCGGATTGACGGAACGAGTTGGCGACTAATTCGTCAAGATGAAACCACACATAGATCAAACACGACACAAAGAAACGCAAATACGAGGGAGCGAACAACTATAAGTTTGCGCTCGACAATGTTGAGAATTTCATCCATTTACGACGCGTATTTGAGGATTTCCTGGGATACTGTAGAAGGCGTATTGCGCAGGTGTCAGACTTCGCGAATGGATGGACTCGTAAAGTCTGACAATGCCCATGCAGTTGCGATTCGCTTTCGCTACACCTACGTTACATAAAAAGTTGATCGATATATCGATCGAAGGGCTGGAATGTCGACACAGAGAGACGAGATGGAAATAGAGAGGGTCCATATGCGTTATAAGGTGTTTCAAGGGAGTGAATATGATGGTCCATGCTTTCTGGCTTTTGGTGCTAATAAAACGCTGGCAAATTAATCTCATAATTCTAATCGATTTTTCTAGCCTACTATTGAAAATTTAGCAGATGTAGGGCCGCGTTATAAACCTTAACCTTTGACGACCGTGTGGCCCGCCGGTGGGCCACACTTTCGCTCGGGCGGCGACACGTTTTTAGGGGTTTATTTTGGCATTTTTTATGTTTCAAAACTACACAAATACATCATCGAATTCGCGGAATAATGCGCTAATTACTAATAGTGAAATTGTTGGAGAGTTAATGATTATTGATGAAAAAATTTAGAAAGAAGTGAAGTGACGCATTCATAACGGCGGTCGTCAAAGGGTTAACTTTGGCGTTTGTTTAAGATCAGCCACCACCACATAGGAGTGACTTCGATATCCCAAGGCGTTAGAGCAACGACCTATTAGGGGGTACACCCGGGTCCAGAGTGAAAATTTGAATTTGAGTTTCTCACTGTGCACAACTTGGCCTCCGAACCGGAACTATACCGTCCCAGAAAAATTCCGGAAAATCATGGTATGCCGGAATTCGAAGGGATAAGCCCTTCTACAACGCTCAAGAGACAACTCTGGTAAAGAAGAGCCTAAGCTCCAGAAAATATTCTCCAGCCGATGAGTAAAAAGTAGATGAACATAAGGAGCAACAGCAGAGCTTCAATCGCTTTTTCTTAGCCTACTATTGAAATTTAGACAGATGTATTTGGCACGCGTTATGACAATGGGCGAGGTTTCTGAGTCAGCACCCACTAGTAGGAGTTGCTTCGATATCCGGTTAGAGCAACTACCATTATAGGGGTTAACACCAGAGTGAAAATTTGAATTTGAGTTTCTCACTGTGCACAACTTGGCCTCCGAACCGGAAAAATACCATCCCAGAAAAATTCCAGAAATTATGGTATGTCGGAATTCGAAGGGATAAGCCCTTCTACAACGCTCAAGAGAACTCTGGTGAATAAGAGCATAAGCTCTCTTAAGCTCTAGGAAATATTCTTCAGCCGGTGAGTAAAAAGTAGATGAAGACAAGGAGCAACACACAGCAGACATCTTCAAGTGTGTGGATTTCATAGCCGTTGAAGGGAAAAAAGCTGGAATGTAGGAAATACAAGCGAGTTCCGGTGGTGTAATGGATTAGGGTGGTGCCAAGAAAGCAAAAAGCCGGGTTAGAATCTCGCCCGAGGTCAGTTCACGGTTTTGGATCTAGTCCGGCAACAAGCATTGTTGTGATAGAGATTGCTGTAGATTGCATACATTTTCCTACGACTAAAACTCTAGCGTTCGAACTAAGGCCCGCAAAAAATTTTAGCACCAAATTCTTTTATTTCCGTACCACCGTACTATGTCAAAAGACGTTTTCTATCTGGTCACCTCCTATTTTTTACATGGGACCAGCTCCCGTGAAATGGATAAGTGTTCAGGGGTATAAATATAAATATGGACAGCTGAAGAGATGTGAAAATAGTGGGAGCATTCGACTGGCTAATAAGAAAGGCCAGGTGTGGGTAAGTAGACGCCACGGATGACTTCGATAGCCCAAACAAATTTAAATAAGTTCGTTAAAATGGCATCTGAAAACCGTGATGGCAAATGATCGTCGGG